GCGGCGGAGGCTGGAGGAGCTGATTGTGGGAGACCAGATCGATGCCGCATAGATCTTAAGGCAGTCAAGCTCATTGGCTACCACCGTTGCTGGACTATATACAGTACTCTTATTCGTGAAGAAAGTACCAACAGTAGTCAATGGATAAATGTGACAATTTAGGTTCTTGTTGTCGTCATCGCCTACCATAACCACCCTCCCCCCAAGTAACGGGTATCCGAACGTAAGAGGTGACTTAACCACTTCCAAGTGGACCGAAACCTGTCTTCGTAGCCACAGGGTCACGAGTTCTTGTGATTGGGCAAAGTCACACAGATGGGGGCTCTCATTAGCATTACCTGGGGATTAGCTGGCAAATATCCGTTCTTATTTTAACCTCGACTCATGCTCCTATAATGCCTTTATAAGTCAGATCTTTACTAGGTATTAATCGAGAGTTCGTCTCTTAGGTTCCTGAAGCGGTGAAGGTGCTGTACGTAAATCGAGTAAACCGATTACCTCGTCTGGAAGAAGAGCTAAATCAAAGTCAAGCAAACGTTATGGCGAAAAGCGAACTTGCTCCTTCGGAAGATCGCGACTTGGTGAGTGTTTTTTTCTTTATTCTCTCCTAACTCCTACTGTAGGGGACATGGCTGTCGTCTCAAAAACAGTGCAATAATTGTGAAGTGTCAGTCCTCAAGACCCAAAACGTGCTTTTACTCACATACTGAAATCCTTCTGAACTCACTCCAGTTTGTGCTCCCTTGTTACTTTAGCGAATAGCCCTTCATTTCGCCTATCCTTTTTGTGACCTGATCCCAAATCGCACTTTCGTGTTGCTTCGAGTACGCATTTTGTGCTAAAGTTAAGAAAGGCGCATAGTTTATTAATCTATCCTATGAGATCGATTCATCGGCTACGGTAACAATTGGTACATTTTTTTAGCGGATGCGACCTTACCGTGAAACTCATTGCCTAGTGGATCATGCTAATGGTTAAACCGTTTATAAAACTGCCTATTCAACTACTAATTGAAATCTAGTAGGTAGTAATGATAGCAATAATAATCTATCATAAAAGTGAAGCTGGCAAGCGGCCTGATGCTGTCACACACAATCGCAATTATCAGTGTATTTTCAAATCCTGTAGACTGGGTCGCTGAAGTGTTCTAGCTTCTTTAAACACCTTCGCTAGAAATGAATGCCTTAAGGGAATACACAGTAGCATGTCCAGTTTCTTTTACTTCAAGGGAACAGCTGACCTGCTTCCACTTATCTAAGGGACCCATATTTTTTCGAGTTCCCGCCTAATACAGTGTCAAGACGTCGGGTGATTAACAGCACTACTAGTCCGAGAATGAATGATTTGTCTCCAGAAACCAAATCTGTTTTAAGTTAATACATTGTAGTCTTCTGTCTACGTCACGCGGTGTAAGTGTGCAGAAGATAAATGCGTAAGACGCTGTAGGTAACCGAATCAGGAGACGTGCGCAGATCCAAAAACAGAGCTCATTGAATTTTGTACGGGGTCTGCCTATGATCAGTTTTCCTCACAACTTTATGTAGCTTTTAGTCACTTAACGCATTCGTACTCCGACGTTTTCCAATCCTCCTAGGATGATGTACATAAATATTTCATTGACACAAACTTGGTATGGTTATACTTCCTTCACATCACTTGTTTTTACAATTCGTTTAGGAACTAATGACCGCGACAACTCGAGTTTAAGCTGCCTTCATACGTTGCCCCAACTTGAAACTTACGTCTCTCCTAACAAAAGCTTCAATCAGTTTGCGCGTCATTAGGTCTAGTGTTTAAGAAATCCTTGTTGGCTTGGAAACTGTTTTAGGAGCTAACTGCGTGGTTGGCTAAGAATAAAGGACAGAAATTAAGCAGGTTTCTAACAGTTTTTGACCTCTTTGAGGAATTCACCGATCCTACTCCAATGCACGAGTCTTACAAGGAGTCTCCTGTGCTGTAAAATGATTCTTCTTTCCATCGAACACACCGACCTCGCTTTTTTCCAACAGTTACGATGGTAGCTTACCAGGGGTCAGAATTCCATTTTTAGAAAATTAAAGACAAGCATAAATGTGCTTCTTTTTAAACGCTTCAGTTTGTTCGCGTACTTTTGGAGTTTTATCTCCGTTCCACGTCGGACGAAAAGCCGTTAGCCGGTCCTTTACCGAACCATCCCAAAGAAGAGACCAACGCCGAACGGTTATCTAGTCCTCCATCACAGAAGCCCCTCACCTCTGTCTCAAACCTCGCCGAAAAACTTAAAGAAGTTCTAAAAGAACTCGAAAACGTGACCCCATCTTCGCAAAGTGACCATGGTAAGTTGCAGAATTCATCGGTAGCGACTACACCACTTTAGGCTTACAATTTACATGAATATCGTTATAGTGTCTATCCGCAGCATGTTGCCACCATCCCCACCATCACCCTGTCGTCCCTCTTCCTTTTTGCATTTTCAGAAGAAGCCCTGGTTTCCGATCTGATGAAGTGTGACCGCCGCCTTTTGATTCTCCTGGCCAAGCAGCAGGTGAATCAGATGCTGTCGTCATCGAACCTGCCAGCCGGAAAGGCGGAATCTGCTGGGCTTCCGGTTAACGCAACCTCACTTATAAATAAGGCAGTAATCACAGAGGACGCGGATTCGGCACCAGCCGACTTCACACAACAGACTGCGGTCTGTGCCCCACTCTGGACACCCTCATTGAGGCCAAAAACCGATCTGCCAGGCAGGGCAGTGCTCACTCCCTGTTCAGGGACATCGGGCCCAGTCGTATCTATGTCCTACCGCCAGTTGCTTGTTGGTACAGGTAGGGAAGCTTAAATGCGATGCCTTAATTTCCATATTTTTCTTAACTCCTTTTTTCCTTCCATAAACTGGATTTCTCAGTAGAAACTCAAACTTTCTATGGTTCACTGAGCCACCTTTGTCCTGTTAATGTTATAACTTACGTGAAT